CTTCAACGAGATGGATTGATACGGTGGCTGCGATGATGGGCTCAAGTATAGCAGGGATTGTGGGGCTGGCGTGGGATCAGGCAGTGTTTCGTTCTGCTGTGCATGGGGTTGCTATGAGTCGGAAACGACTCAACGGCACTTAACAACAACAACAACAACATGGGAGCTCTGGTGGCATAGTGCCTAAGGCATGTGACTGCTAACCAGAAGTCTGGTGGTTCAAACCCACCAATCATTCCTCGGAAGGAAGATTAGGCAATCTACTTCTGTAGAGATACTGCCTTGGAAACCCAAGAGGGGTCACTGTGAGTCGGGACTGACTTGACAGCAGTGAGTTTGTTTGTTTGCTTGTTTGTTTTCATTATACAGCTGTAGTAATCAAAAGAAGTTCTGGTGGTGTAATGCCTAAGGCATCTGATTGCTAAACAGAAGGCTGGTGGTTCAAACCCACCAGCCACTCCTCAGAAGGAAGACTGAGCAATCTACTTCTGTATAGATACTGCCTCGGAAATCCAAAAAGGGGTTGGAATGAGTTGAATTGACTCAAGGGGAGTGAGGTTTTTTTTTTTTTTGGTTTACAGTACTCAAAACAGCCTGATAGTGGTATAACAATAGCTTATAGAACAATGGAATAGAATTGAGAGTTCAGAAATAAACCCACAAATCTATGGTCAACTGATTTTTGACAATGGTGCTAAGTCCATTCAATGGGCAAAGAAGAGTCTCTTCAATAAATGGTGCTGGGAAAACTGAATTTCCACATGCAGAAAAATGAAACAGCATCCATGCTTTGCACATATTTAAAAACAAATTCAAAATGGATTAGAGACCTAAATGTGAAAGTAAAAGCTCAAAATTCTTAGAAGAAAATGCAGGGGCAAAGCTCTCAGGCCTAGCTTTCAAAATGGATTATCTATAAAAGTGACAACTGCAAAAGACAAAATATATAAATGAGACTTTATAAAAATTTAAAACTTTTGTTCATCAAAACACTTACCCAAAAAAGTGAAAAGACAAGCTATGACTGGGAGAATCTCTTTGGAAACCATGTTGTTGTTGTTATGTGCCCTCGAGTCGGCCCCGACTCATAGCCACCCCTCCTTGGGTTTCTGAGGCATTATCACTACGTAAGTAGATTGGCCAACCTTCCTTCCAAGGAGTGGCTGATGAGTTTGAACCACCAGCCTTCTGGTTAGCAGTCAAATGCCTTAGGCACTATGCTATCAGAGCTCCATATATCCTATAAAAATCTAATAACATATATATATATATAACTTAGACAACTTAATAACAAAACAACAAATAGCACATCATAAAATGGGCAAAAGACTTAAATCGACACTTCACCAAATAGATGTTCAAATGGTGTGGTGGTTAAGTTTGTGTGTCAGCTTGGCTAGGCCTGGTTGAGTGGCTGGGCAGCTGGATGTAGTATTCCCCATGATGAGACTGGTAATCAACTCCATGGTAGAATCTATTGTGAGCAGCTGAGTAGCTGCCTTTGGGTATATGGTCTGCTTCCCACATATAAGAAACAGCTTTGGGAATGGTTTCTAGGTTATGGCATGCTTGAGCCCTGCATGTAGCTGAGACATTGGTCAGCAGCCTGCCATGCTCTGTGGATCCTGGGACTTTCAATGGACTTGAATTAATAGCCTACCATGTGGTTTGGTAACATTGGGACTTGTCAGCCTTGGGCTTGTCAGCCTAAGCAGCCAGCAGCTGTCTGAGTAAAGAAGAGCCTCCAGCTCCAGTGAGCTGGGAGCAGGAGGCAGAGCTGAAGCCCAAGGCTGAGGGGCTTTTACCCAGCCCCTAGAACTTGGCACTTTGAACTCAGACTTCTAGCTTCCCAAACTACAAGAGAATAAACTCCTGTTTGTTCAAGCCATCCCATTTGTGGTATTTCTGTTAGAACGGTACTAGGTAACCAGAACAAATGGCCATCAAACACATGAAAAGATGCTCAATGTCAACATCCATTGTTGTTGTTGTTGTTGTTATGTGCCGTCGAGTCGGCCCCGACTCATAGCGACCCCTCCTTGGGTTTCCGAGGCAGTATCACTACGGAAGTAGGATTGCCCAACCTTCCTTCCGAGGAGTGGCTGGTGGGTTTGAACCACCAGCCTTCTGGTTAGCAGTCAAGTGCTTTAGCCATTAGAGAGATGCAAATCAAAACCACAATGAGATACTATTTCACTCCCAGTAGGATAAAGCCAAAAAAACCAAACTCACTGCCATCAAATTGATTCTGACTCATAGTGACCCTATAGGGTTTTCAAGGCTGTAAATCTTTATGGAAACAGACTGCCTCATCTGTCTCCCATGAAGCGGCTGGGGCCTGAAATGCCAACATTATGGTTAGCAGCCAAATGCCTTAATGACTACATCATCATAGCTCCTCCTACTAGGATGGCTAAGATATTTAACTTAAAAAATAATAATAATAACATAACCAATGATGGTAAGAATGTGGGGAAACTGGAACCCTTACCCATTGCTGGTGGGAACGTAAAATGGTACAATCACTGTGAAAAACAGTTTGGCAGTTCTTCAAAAAACTAAAAAAAGAACTATCATATTACCCATCAATTCCACTCCTCAGTGTGTTCCTAAAAGTCTTGAAAGCAGAGACTCAGACTTGCACAAGAATGTTCACTGCAGCACTATGCACTGTAGCCAAATGGTGGAAACAACTTAAATACCCATCAACAAGTGAATGGATAATAAAAATGTGGTACATACATACAATGAAATACTACTCGGCCAGTAAGAGAAATGAAATCTTGATATATGCTACAATATGGATAGAGCTTGAAGACATTATGCTGAGTGAAATAAATCAATAACAAAAGGACAAATATTAGATGATCTCATTTACATAAAAAGACAGAAACCAAATTTTGAGTACTGAATTTCAATTTATGGTGATGGAAAAATCACATTGATTAAAAGTAGGGTTTCACAACTGATTAATGTAATTGCTGTCAATAAGTTGTACACCTGTAAAAAGTCAAATTAGCCATACACACACACACACACACACACACACAAAAACCTATGGATCACAGGAGAATATTGGCTGATACAGTACTGGAAAATGGGCACTCTACGTTGGAAATCACTCAAAACACACAGTAGCCACAATGATAGGCACCATACCAACAATTATAAATACAGAGCAGGACCAAGCAACATTTCATTCTTGTGCATGGAGTCACCATATGTTGGAGGCAACTTGATGGCAACTAACATCAACTATGGCGCAAATGATTTTCTTACAGATTTAAGACCACTCATTTGGTAGAAAATGATAACTAATGAGTCTCCCAGGAAAAAGACATTACAAAGTGATTTCCTTCTACTTTAATTATCATCCAGGTCCCTTGGCATATCTAAAAGCAAGGACTAAAGAAGACAACCATGCAAAGAAGTGAAATAGTACATCAAAATCAAAGGACAAATGGCTCTTATGACCAGAGGAGCAAAAACTTGCCAAAAGACACAGACACCTAAGCCTCTATGGCAGATCTCAACAAATAATTAACTAAAGGAGTTTCCTGGATGGGAAACTGATAATATCACACTGACAGGAAAAAGTGAAAAATCCAGATTTATTCCATCCTGGACAGGTGGAACATACACACAATGTGAGAACAGCTCAAAACCAAAATCAGCCTCCATATCCCCTGAGAAAACACGTAACTTGGGAAACAGTTAAGTCCAGTTAAATCCATGGTAAATTACCAAGAGAACTTATTTTTGCTAAAATTTAGACCTTTATAAGAACCAAATGATGAGGCTGAGACAGTTTGGGATAGCAATGTTGATGATTAAAGAAAGCAACTTTAAAGAAGAGACAAATCCCTTTGGCAAAATGGTACTAGTTCTACCCTTACTGCTGGTGATGGTCCCTAAAAATAAGTCACAGTCTTTTTCACCTAGCCTTGTTATCATGGCCGAACTCCCTCTCTTCTGAGGTAATGTCTATAAATCTTGGCATCTGTGTGCTTTCATACCACATGTCAGCTATTAGCAATGGTATTTTTTCTGACAGCTAATTGGTAACTTTAAAGAGAAGAAAGGAAAAGCATTGTGCTTGTAAAGGCATTTTACACCATTAAGTGCAACTAGTATTTTAAGCTCTGGTAGCATAGTGGCTAAGACACTTGCCTGCTAACCAGACGGCTGGCGGTTCAAACCCACCAGCCACTCCTCGGAAGGAAGGTTGGGCAATCCTACTTCCGTAGTGATACTGCCTCGGAAACCCAAGGAGGGGTCGCTATGAGTCGGGGCCAACTCGATGGCACATAACAACAACAACAACAGTATTTTAAGGGGGACAGGACAATGCATGGGAATCAGAGAGGCTTTGTTTTTACCCCGTTTGCCAGTCAGACAAGAAATGTGGTGGAAATGAAATCCATACTTTGACATACTTACATACAGAAGATTCTTTCCAAGTAACATTTATGCTGAGGGAGTCCTTGAGGCAGGCAGACATCTAGAGACCCACACACACACCCTGTGCCCCCAGATCTTGCAAAGGCAGTAACCCTGAGCCACAGCATATTTGTTACCTTTCATTTTGGTTGTGTAAAATCCAACAGCTGCTCCATTCCTCCATAAAATTTTAGCTTGCTCCATCACAGAGTGAGGTAAAAAAAACATGTCATCAGCATCCAGATTTCTCTCCAATCTTCCAAAAATAACGACATTTAGAATGAAAAGCACAATCCTTTCCCCAAATGACTTAACCTTTGAAGAAACAAAAAAACAAACAAGAGAACGACTAAGTGAGACCAGAGAGGAAAATCAGACACAATAAATTTTGTGTTTGGAATTGACCATTGGGGCCAGGTGTGTGCTCCACCATCATACAATTCTTTTTGAGCTCAAGAGCCAAAATGTGAATCACAGTTTCTAATGGAGTTTTCATTCCACTGACCTTTCACACCATTGTGGCCTCCAGGAGCAAGAAGCAGTGGCAAAGCACACTCCTGAGGGCCACAATTGTGGAACAGAGCCTAAGGAGCACAATAAAGCTATGCTAATGAAGAAAGATATTATCTCCAAAGGACCTAGAGCACCCATTCCAGTAGATTCACTGGGTATTTTTAATGACAGTGGGATCCTTGCATTTAGAAGGAGTGGAATAAAAGGAGATCAAATGCTACAGCAGAGCAACTAATCTTAATGCCTTGTGACAGACAGATTTTAGCACATATTAGAGTTCCAATCTCAGAGAATGCCTGAGACTCACAACCTACTGCATTCTAAAACTGTAAAATTGAACCCTCTCTTGTCTATACCAAAGTCATAACAAGTGAGAAGGCTGTATTGTGGACAATGTCAAACTCACACAGACAATGAAGCTTTAATGCAGATATTCTCAACAAGTCAAAACGGCTTCACACTCCTACTTGTTAAATAGAGTGCATATGCATGTCTTGTTGCCTCCATGAACAACTTTTTCCTTTGCCTTGTGACCAGAACTGGATGGAGCCTGACTACCTACTATTACTGAAGATTTTGACCAAAGATTCTATAGGATGATCTTGATTACAAAAGGCGAAAATGCAAAATTGCAAATTCTCAATGGAATCTAGACTTTCTGGATCCATTGAGCTGGACGAACCCCCAAAACAATTGTCCTAAGATAATCTTTAAACTTTAAACCTTAAAACAAAACTATCCCCTGAAGTCTTCTTTAAAGCACACACACAAAAAATAATAATAGTTTATCTTAATTAGTAAAGCATGTCAGCCTTGAGCATTGTGCTCTTTTAAAGAATTTTCTATGTGAGATCAAATTAACAACAACAATTCTAAAGGTTACATGAGAGGCTTAGGGGGCAGTGAGTTTTTTAATGGCAGTAGAATAATTTGGAAAAGGATAGCGAGAATAGTAACACAACTAGAAGAATGTAATCAGTGTCACTGAATTTTACATGTAGAAATTGTTGAAAAGGTGAATATTTGGTTATGGATATTTTCACCAAAATTTTTTTAATAATTAAAAAAAAAAAAAAAAACTATTTGTATAGTCCACAGATGGCAAACATGTGGCATAAGCTAAGGCCTCTCACTGCTTCGCCCACAGCAGGCATAGCTAATCAAACTATACTCCAGGGGGTAGTGGTGGTTTCATGGCGGATCTTTCCTTTATATGCAGGAGACCTGAGTTTGTTTGCAGGCCAGCGTACTTCATGTGCAGCCACCACCCATATGTCAGTGGAGGCTTGCATGTTGTATGATGCTGAACAGGTTTCAGTGACGTTTCCAAACTAAAATGGACTGGGGAGAAAAGGCTGGTGATCTACTCTAAAAATCAACCAGTGAAAAATCTATGGCTCACAAAAGTGTGATCTTATTGTATATGGGGGTTCCATGAGTTGGGGGCCAACTCAATGGCAACTAACAATAGAAGATGCACATAAAGTCATTTCAAAACTGCCAACCCTAACCATACTCTAGCTGGCTGAGCATGAACATGGTTTCAGAATCCACCTAAAGGTAGTTCTCTAGACAGCCACAAGCAGCTGCTACAACATGGCATATAAGATGAAACCCATCAGCTATTTACAATGTGACAGTACTGTTATACTGAATTTCACTCCAACCACCTTGCTATGTGATAGTAACAAGATCAATAATATTCTTAGCTGAGCAGTATTCACCCATATGACTCCCTTTGATTCTCACCAACCGCAAGGCAGGGACTACTGTTTACAGGTGAGAAAAATGAAACTCAAAGAGGGCGGGTGATTACATTTATTGATTTCCCTGTTTCATTCATAGGCCTTGAGATAGCTGCGCGAGGGCTGTACCAGAGGTGGGCTGGAAACAGCAGGCGCCGAGGGCTACTGAGTCCAAGACCAGTGCATCTGCCTGAATCCAGCCCCCAGTTCCCTTCTGCTCTTCCTTCATTAGCATTGAGAATTTGGAAATAAGAAGTTCAATACAAGTGTTAACAACTGGTTTTATATTTAATATTTGAACCTTAAATAATAACAATGATCATCATTACTATTACTTGTAGTTGTGGGTTCTTGGCCTGGATTTGTTAGGAGCTCCTCAGAAATGCTTAACCTCTTTGAGCCTCAGTCTCCTCTGGTTGAGGGAGAAATTCACCTGTGTGGTCCCTAAAACACTTCATGTTTTCAAAGGCTCTGATAATAAAATTCAAGCAGCTTGCAGCACCCCAGCAAATGGCACAAAGTATTCAGTGCCAACAAACTTATTAGTTGGCCTAGAATGTAAAATATTTCAACTTCATCTGGAGCGAAATCTTAGATCAGAAAAAGATCTGTGAAAACCACACCAACTCAACTCCAAGCAGCTGCCACAATCCTCTATCTTACACAGCGGCAGGCAAATCAAATTCAGATGCTAAGAACAATTAGTTAGTCACAAAACCTGATCAGTGTAATGTGGGAGGTTATATTTTTCAACTTATAAAACCTAAAAGTGCAGAAGAAAGCCAAAAAAGAAAAGCAGATTGCATCTGGCAGAAGGGAAATACCCAATCAAAAACTGGCAGGAGAAAAAGGAGAAGAAGAAAATGTACTTCATTTGTCCAATTGCATTAAGGAGGAAAAAATGTGCTACATGAGATTTTGACTTAGAAATGTTTCTGAAAACACAAAACTACAATCTAGCTTTAATCCCTGAACTAGGATCACTAATTACGTAAACAAAATGAACACTAACAAAGCTTTCTTGCTAATTTGTAAAGAACAACAGGCTAAGGAACAAAATGTAATTTGAAAGAAAAAAAAAAATGCCAAGACCCAAAGTTCTATGAGCGGAAGGGAAAATAAATATCCTCATACATAGCCATGATAGGGTAAATCATTAAAACATGGTTCAATAAGAGGATATAGCATGTATGTTTCTTTCTGTTAACAACATGGATCATATTTTCAGAAAATAGGCATGAGGAAATTTCCTCCCTAAACTTAAAAGAGATGACACATGAAGGAAATGACCACTCTCATTCTAAAAAGAGTATTTAAAGAGTAAATCAGATTCTTCCTATCATTCAGAATACCTAGCCACAAAATACCACCTGGTCCACCTGTGGCAAAAGGGCAGGGGAACAACACAAATGGGTACATCGGGCACCAGAACTGGTATACCATGCTTATTTGCAGAATCTCAGACATAGTTAATTTGCTGGAAGAAAAGTCTTTTTAAAACAATACCTCTTGAGGCAGTTTAAAACGAGACCTATAAAAGACAACCCAGAGAATTGGGGAGGGAAATATTTGCATATCATATATCTGAGATGGTACCACAGTGGCTAAGACACTTGAATGCTAACCAGAGGGCTGGCAGTTCAGACCCACCAGCCACTCCTCAGAAGGAAGATGGGGCAATCTACTTCCGTAGTGATACTGCTTCGGAAACCCAAGGAGGGGTCGCTATGAGTTGGGTTCGACTCGATGGCACATAACAACAACAACAACATATCTGAGAAGCAACTTGTATCCATAATATGGAGTCTCTGGGTGGTACAAACAGTTAACATACTAAGCTGCTAACCAAAAGTTTGGAAGTGCAAGTCCACCCAGAAAAGCCTCAGAAGAAAGGCCTGGCAATCCACGTCTAAAAAAAAATCAGCCATCGAAAACCTTATGGTGCATAGTTATTTTCTGACAACTCATTCACATGAGTTGAAATTGACTCAATAGCAACTAGAATCCAGAATATGTAAAGAAATCTTACAACTCAACAATAAAAACACAAATAACCACATGACCCTGGGACCAAAAGAATTACCTGGGGACCAGATGAATTAGATGGTGCCCAGCTACCAATGCCAACCACTTGGAAAGGGATTGATATTGGAGATCCTGAATTGAGTGGGAGAAAAATGTGGAATAAAACCCAATATCATAAAATAGACCAGGCTTTCTACTCTGATAGAGATGGGTGAAAGCTCTGAGATTATAGCCCCAAATTACCCTTCAGGCATGGAATTGAACTCCCTCCCATGGTTTACCTCTTAGTCAAACAACAGATAGGCCTACCAGCTGAACACCTATTCCAGGGAGATGTACTCCTTAGAACAATCAACCATGGGAGATCAGAAGGTCAGCAGAAGAGAGAAAAGTAGGGAGGAAGGAATGTATAAGCAAGAAGGACAGAGGGAAAGAGTGACCCAGAGGAGGAAGTGGGAGGTGAGCTGTTACACTGCAGGGAATGTAACCAGTGTCACAAAACAAAATGTGTATAAACTGCTTAATGTAAAATGAATCTGCTTTGTAAAATTACACCAAAATCACAACAAAAAGTTTTTAAAAAAAAAAAAAAAGATCATAGCCTTGGAAACTCTATTGAGCAGATCTACTCTGTCTTATAGGATCATTATGAGTCTGAATCAACTTGATGGCAGGGGGTTTGGTTTTGGTTTCTGTGAGCCTACTTTTCCACCTGTAAATGGTATGAAATCTACATACAAATCAAATTTTTCTGATGCAAATTTATCATCCAAATCACAATGTGCTATAACTGTTAAGTACATACCATATTTCAAAGACTTAATGCAAAAAAGAGGAATGTAAAAATATTTCATTAATGATTTTTCTACACTGATTACATGCTTAAATGGCCATATTTTGAACAACAACAACAACAAAACTCACTGCCATCAAGTCAATTCTGACTCATAGCAACCCCCACTGGGTTTCCAAGGCAATAAATCTTTACAGAAGTAGATCGCCCTATCTTTCTTCTGCAGAGCTGTTGGTGGGTTTGAAGCACCAACCTTCTGTTTAGCAATCAAATGTCTTAGGCACTGTGCCACCAGAGCTCCTTGCATTTTTAACATGTTGGGTTAAATAAGATATATTACTAAGATTAAAACAGATGCACACACAAATAACCCTATTTAAAAAAAAAAAAAAAATAGGCAAAGGATTTGAATAGACATTTCTCCAAAGAAGATACACAAAGGTCAATAAGCACATAAAATGATTTTCAACATCATTAGCCATCAGAAAATGCAAATCAAAAGCACAATCTGATATCACTTCTCACCTATTGGGATAGCTATAGTCAAAACAATAGCAAGTGTTGTCTGGAATTGGGAGAAATTGGAACTTTCATATAACGCTGGTGGGAATGTAAAATGGTACAGCCACTTTGGAAAATAGTTCGGCAGATTCTCAAAATATAAAACATTAAACTACCATATGAGCCAGCAATTCTACTTTTATTTTATATACTCAAGAGAACAGAAAACATTTCCACACAAAGACCTGTACACAAATGTTCTTAGCAACACAATTTATAATAGTCAAAATGTGAAACAACTCAAGTGTCCATCAATTGATGATGAATAGATAAACAAAATGTGGTATATCTATATACCAGTCATAAAAAGGAATGAAATACTGATAAATGATACATGGATGAACTTTGAAAACATTATTTCATTTCCTATCATATGAAATGTCTAAAATAGACAGAAAGTAGATTCATGGTTTCCAGAGGCTGTGGGAGAGGTTACCTGATGGATGGATGGAGTTAGTGACTGCTAATGGGGTTTCTTTTTGGGGTGGTAAAAGTGGTCTGGAATTAGAGACTGATGATTAATATGCACCTCTGAGAATGTATTAAAAATCACTGAATTATACTCTTTAAAGGACTTTATGGTATATGAAATATATTTCAATAAAGCTAATGTTAAAAATAATAATACCTGAGAGTTCCAGCAAGATGGCAGACTAGGGAGAAGGACTGCACAGACCCTCTTCAACAAAGAAAAGGGAAACCAATTAACACAGACACAGAAGATAATCTTGGATCTCTGAGCCTTGAAGGGAA